CAGTGATTTGAGAAAATGTACCATTGCCAGTCTACTTGTAATTTTCAATCAAACATTACCAAAACAAAACATAATGAAACACATATGGACGCAAGGGCTGGGCAATAAGGTTGTCCATTGGCCTGACGAGCTTCAATTCACTCCAGCAACCCTGTCACTCTCATAAAATGATCATAACAAGCGACAAAATGTTCTATGATCCAATCAATTCCTGATGGACAGAATCAAGTCCTGCCCTCCATTTGATATGCTGTTGAAATCTGTGGATATGCTCTTGATATGCTGTTGATACAGTGACATTTAGATATATGTCACAATAGGGGAAAGTAGGACAGTCACGATTTCCATTTTGTGTCGACTTTAAATGTTCCACCACTAAAAATAAACATGCTATTTGACCTCACTAATCAATTAAGTTTAATTAAAGTTTAAAGTCAAACAAGTTTAAAGATTTTTTTGTGTCATTTCAGTTAATATATTTAATTACCATTATTTTATTTATATATTTTTTTGTTTATTTTTGTTAGTATTAGTTAACTACAATAACCCTGGGGCCTGTACCATGATGGTGGCTGAACAAACTCAGGGTTACAGGATTAGTTTTGAGTTGACAAAACCAAACCAGTCCAATCCGGCTTTGTTGGTACCATGAAGCTGATCATCAACTTTCTCTGTCAACTCAGGCTTGATCCTGAGTTAATGAAGCACGTGCACATAAAAGAGTGACATCAGTAATGAACAGCCAATCACATGCCTTGAAACTGTGATTCACTTCTCGTGAGAGAGTCACTACCAAAGATTAAAATATTCAACAATATGAAGAATTTAAACACATTTACAAGATTAAACGATCTATCCATGAAAAAGGAAAACTTAAAGAAAACATATAAGTGCAAGTAAAAGTTAGTTTATAGAGTTGATAATATTCATAGGTATAAAAACACTTAAAAATCTAAGCTCATATGTAGTCATGTTTAAAGCTATTGATTCTAAAACTTATTTATATTGCATATTATCTATATGTTTATATTAATTTAAAATAAACTAAGCTAGCTTGTGTAATGGATTAAGGGTATAATAATTATATAAATAATTATAAAAAATAATCATCTCTAAAAATCCGACAATATTATCTTTAAATCTTTAAAATGTTTTACTATGTAGCGTCCTTTAATTTGGAGTAAGAGAAACTGGGGGAGTGGCTTTATTGCGTCAGAGATGCGTCACTTGGCTTGAAGCTGATTGGTCAAATTTGGGTTTGAGCTCTCTATACCAGAACATAACCTGCCCCAGAGCAGGTTAGCTGTGGAGCGTAAGTTACTAAGGCAATGAATGCTGCTAAAAGCCAAGCCACTTTCATGGTACCTAAAACCCAGGATTGGTGCAAACTAAACCGAAATTTACCTGGCTAGCCAGCTAATCCAGCTTCATGGTACAGGCCCCTGGTCTGTACAAAGACTCACATGATCAATGTGTTGAATTAATTTTGTCTAAATGTTACATTTTTTTAAATCCCTAAAACTTTTATTTCCAGATTTCCAAATTTAAATGGAATTTTAAATTCTTGTTTTTTCTTGTTTTTTAAATTTTAAATAATCTCAGTCTTTTGAATTCATCTGTATTAATCGTTATTTGTAATAATAAAAATCAAATAATAAGTAAATAATGTTTCTATCTTGCAGACAACAGCTTCATCGGGTTGGTTTTCCGGAGCCCCTTTGACTGCTCCAGTATCAGTCAGCATGTCTTCAATGGCTCCTACCCCATATAGTACCATCAGTGGACAAACTCAGCCGCCTCCGACGCAATTTCCCATCGCTCCTCTATCACAGCAGAACATGCATCTGCAACCTGCCCTGCAGTACAGCCCATCTCCCCTGCACCCGCAGCAGGTCCAAATCCTGTCAGGATCCCAGCCCCCGGTGCCCAGTGCACCTTCCCTCATGACCACAGCGGGGCCTCCGCTGCCCCCCGCCACCAGCATCACAGCTGCCTCTGCCCCCGCCACCACCACCAATCAAGACGCCGTCTTCTGCTCGTGCTCCTCTTCCTCCTGCTCCACCTCCGCTCTGCCTCCCAGTGCCAAACTTCACCCCAAACACTCCACAGCCACCCTTCCTTTAGGACAGCAGTGAGAAGACGGATAACGCTGAACATCTTGTACAGGAAGGACACTAGTATCAAGCGGTTGCTTGCTGGTGTGTGTGGGTATGGGGGTGTATAAATACTGTAGTGTGTATTTGTGTGAGCGTGCGTTTGTGTTGCATTTTTCAATACATATCCTCTGTGTGTTTCCGCACCGTCAAGTTTTCTATCTGACTTAGTTGGACCTAAACTCGCCCTATATAGAGACATTTTTGACATGAGGTGATCCTCTTTGTTTTTATTTTTCAGTGCTTCAAACAAAAGGACTCTTTGAATTTTAAAAAGTGCAATTAGTAACTGATATTTAAATTCATCCTTTCTGTGTTGTTGTGACATGGATCTGTATAGCTTAAAAGAAATATTTTTATATATATACGCACAGAAAAGACAACAACAACCAGACGTCAGCAGCGACGCGCCATCTTTATAGAGCACAACGGATTCAGCCAGCGGCGGGTTCGATCGCATGTTCCAACGCAGAGCATGGTAACCCTGCAACCATCATTGTAGCTACGAAAACAATCGTTGTGCACGGATAAGGCATGCTCCTCATGTATTATAATTTACGATGATAAATAGCCATAGCGTTTTAGATTTAGCCAAGATTTTTTCTAGAATAACAAATAGCCATTGACTAATTCCTTTCAAGATCCTGCAATTGATTCTGAGAAGAAAAAGAAAATTCACTAGCTAATATGATTGCAGTATTTTCCTCTCTGTTTTAGCAGACATTCACACTTTTAAGGTTTACACTATTAACATAATTCACATTGTGAAGAGTGCAAGACTAGACGGCTGTTTGGAAAGCTCAAGTGAAGTGAATGCAGCTTGTTCTTGTTCTTGTGTATTTCTGCGCAGTCCCGTATGAACGTGCTTCCGTGCACACCGAACTGTGATCTGTAAACTGAGTTTGCTTTTAGTGAATGCAACACATCAGCAAAACGCTGGCAAAAAGATGTATTCCTCATCGGTTCTGACAGCAGATACTACTCTGGTGGAAAATTATATATATACATATACAGTGCTGTGAAAAGGTGTTTGCCCCCTTCCTGTTTTTTTAATTTTTGGCATATTTGTCACACTTAAAAGATTCAGATCATCAAACTAATTTTAATATTACACAAAGATAATGCAAGTAAATACAAAATGCAGTTTTTAAATGATTATTTATTTTATTAAGGGAAAAAAGCTGTCCAAACCTGCCTGGCCCTACGTGAAAAAGTAATCGCCCCCTAAATCTAATAACTGGTTGTGCCACGCTTTGCAGCAACATCTGCAATCAAGTGTTTGCGATAACTGGCAATGAGTCTTTCACATCGCTGTGGAGGAATTTTGGCCCACTCTTCTTTGCAGAATTGTTTTAATTCAGCCACATTGGAGGGTTTTCGAGCATAAATGGACTTTTTAAGCATCTCAATCTAATTTAAGTTCGGATTTTTTTAATTTAGTTTTTCTTGAGCCATTCAGAGGTGGACTTTCTGGTGTGTTTGGGATCATTGTCCTGCTACATAACCCAAGTGCGCTTGAGCTTGAGGTCACAAACTGATGGCCGGACATTCTCCTTCAGGATTTTCTGATAGAGTGCAGAATTCATGGTTCCGTCAATTATGGCAAGTTGTCCAGGTCCTGAAGCTGCAAAGCAGCCCCAGATCATCACACTACCACCACCATGTTTGACCGTTGGTATGATGTTCTTTTTATGAAATGCTGTGTTGGTTTTACTTCCAAAAAGTTATATATTACCTTTGTGTAATATTAAAATTTGTTTGATGATCTGAATCTTTTAAGTGTGACAAATACGGCAAAAATTTAAAAAACAGGAAGGGGGCAAAAACCTTTTCACAGCACTGTACATAACTGCCAAGCAAATTAATGATTGAGAGAACATCCAGAAATAGGTTGCCTTTCTACAGTGTATTTTTCCTGATCATAAAGCTTTTATGTGATTCAGCTAGACCAAGATATCAGAGGCCAGCCTTTAACCCTTTAAGTGCCCCCCCCCCCCATTTTTGAATATAGATGTGAAAGTGCACTATTCAAACTTAAATTGTTATAATTTATGAACGCTTTGGAATGCAGACCTTAGGTTGGACTCTTTTTTTAAGACTACAATCTGCAGATTATTGCAGAAGTGGAATCATTTCAAAATATTAAAGTATCAAAAAGTTTAAGAAGTTTAAATTTACTGTAAAGAAAATGCACTGTACCTATTTTATTTTATATAAAATAAATATTTTTCAAAATATTTTTTAATCCAAAATTGCTATAGAATTAAAGCCTTATGTCTAAATAAGTTATGTTCCAAAATTGAAGTTGATATAAAAAAAATTGAGGTTCCTGAGAGATTTTATTAATGGCGTTATACCACAAACAGCCACTGGGTGCCATCAAAACTCCATTGAATTTTTTTAATGCATTTTTCTGTCACAAATGTCTAAACATCTCTGTCAATATTACTTCTATCACGAAATAACCACCAAATATGGAATCTTGAGACTCAGACCTTTTCGACGATATGTATTTTGTGAAGATTATAAAAAGTTTTGATTCTAAAAGACCATAACATCGTGTCTACACCACACGCAGCGCCGCAACAGCTAAAGTCTGTCTACACTGGACGTGACAAAAGTGACCGTTGAAAATCATTTGAAATTTGTGTCAGTATGTCATAAATAGAACGCAGCAGCAGTTTACTGTCGGGAATTTGTCGCGCCGCATCCAGTGTAAGACAGCATAATAGGTTCTATTGTATTTTGTTGCTCCGCGTCCGGTGTAATACATTTTGTAATATGACACCTGACCCAACCCACTAAGGGGGAGGAGACTGCCAAAAGATTTTAAAGTACCATTTCCATGGTAACGCAATGTCCGATTTCAAAATGGTTTTCACAGGATGAATTTTGAGGTTTTAAGATTTCAAGTGATATGTAATTTATGATTACTACTAAGATATGTGACAGAGAAAAAAGACAACGAAATAAAGAGCGGTGAGCCGGTGGCACTTAAGAGGTTAAATCGGCAAACTACGCAACTCTGTTGTACAGACTACTAAAGATTTATAAAGTGGTTGTCAGACCGCATTCTCCATTCGTCTGCAATGCCCATATACAGAAAACTGACTGTGTTCTTTAATGTTTTGTTGGGAAAAATAACGGAAGGTTGGTACGAATGAGGCAACCTGCTTTTTTCAACAAGTAGCCTAGGTGAGAGATAAATAGGGTGGAATGTATTGTGTAAAGCGCACAGGGAATGAGGGTCCGGTTTATGTTGTGAAGCTTTTTGAATTGTGTTAATGCTTGAACTTGTGGATGTTACAAAAAGAGGTCAACATGACCGCTGCCTACAGATGGTTGTGATCATTCAGTTTCCAGTGTTTTATGTCATTTTTCTAAAGACAAGACCCACCTCTTTGCAGTAAACCAACAGTACAGCAGTGGTGAGTATAAAGGCTTTTGTGTCTAAGAAAACTCAAAACATTATCTATTTGATCTGTACAAATGGGAAATGTAAAGATAACCCTCTGCTGAAGTGTTACCAACCTGTAATCTAAAAAGAAAGCATTATTTTTGTATTTTGAAAGGGGTTTTAAAAAAAATTGTAAAATTGTGTTCTGATCAGTGTTGAGAAAGCTGTGATACACAGGTCCTAAAACAGTTTCTCGATGTTCCCCGGCTTCCAACTTTACCCCAAATGTTTGTTCAAAGATTACAACATGATATACATTTTTGATTTTTAGAGGGGTTTTAATTCAATGCAAGTGATTGGGAATATTAGAAGCCAAATCATTTCTACAGTGGAGGTATAGTGTGGGTGAAGTTGTACAGTAAAACCAGGGGGACCGCAGAATTACTTGACTGACCACCAATAATTAAAGGTTATTTAAGTGAAAATAATCTGTAGAGGACTAAACTTATTGCTGGTGATTTAGCTACTGTAAATTGTAACTAATTCAACTGTTGATTCTATTTATGTTTTGTAACTAATCAAAAATAAACATCAAATGTTAAACATCAAGGTGTTAAGGGTTATTTTTTGTCACATTCAAAAGCACATATTTTGTCAGTTTTAACAGTAAAAACAGTCATATTGTAAAATATTCTTAAAATAACTATTTTATTTCAAAATATAATTTAATCCTGTTATGGTAAAGCTGAATTTTCAGCAGTCATTACTCTAGTCTTCAGTGTTACAAGATCCTTCAGAAATCAGTCTAATATGCTAATTTGCTACTAGAGACATTTTTCAATATCAATGTTGCAAACAGTTGTGCTGCTTGATATTAATTATTCATTTAATCATAATTTTTTTCAGGACTCTGATGAATTGAAGATTTAAAATAGCATTCATTCATTTATTTATTTTATCTTGGAGAAATATCTTTACTGTCACTTTTTATTTAATTTAGTACGTCTTTGCTAAATAAAAGTATTAATTTCCTTAAAAATCCTACCGACCTTAAGTTTTTGAACGGTAGTTTATTTTCTCGCAACATTTGTCACTTTGTAGCACCATTTTAAAAGTGATTACAGTCCTGTAATATTCCGTGATACCAGAAGAGGTCTCAAAAGTGTCCAGACATTATACAGTAGAGAACAAACAGAGTAAGCGTTCTTTACTGTACAGAATCACAACATGACAAGAACAGTTCGACAAAGATCATTTAGGCCACCAATGCAAAGACAAAAAGTACATGTCCCGCTGATTTTTAAATAAGAAACATGTTAGCCAGAATTCTAGAAAGCTGAAAATAAGCACCATAAAACCAGACTTTCCTGTTAACTAAGAAAACTAGAATCAGCCACCTGCTACCACCATAACTGTAAATGCATACATAATGAAGCGTGATCTTAAGCATTTGCTCTTCTCTCAGATGTGGATGTTTACCACTGTACAGTGGACAGTCTGTTGAGATCAGGCATGTTCTGCTGCGGGTTCAGAAGTCACCAAACCCCTTGACAATGTGCCTATTGTGATGGCTCGGTCTATATGCGTCAATAGGGGGATTAAGCAGTCGACATGGCACGAGTACAATACTGCTCTTCACTGTGAACAAGAAACCCATGCAAGACCCTCTGAGGATGACGACCCGCTCATGAAACTGCAGGACTCTGACAAGAGCCTGACTGGAGTTTCTGTGTGATACCTGTAGAGTTATTACCACTCAGCCCTCTATAATTAGCATAACTAAATGCCCTGAAGGAAGCTATTTAGTGGGCATGCAAATGAGTGATTCCTCAAATAGGGAGGGGAACGTTTCTGTCCCATAGAATAGATTAGTGTCTTATTTACTTTTTTCACATGTTGAAAGGTAAATTTAGCAAAATTGTACAAATTTGAAGAAAAAGCTACATTTGTAGAATTCTAATAAGGTGAATTTAACATTTTCCCTTTTTTAACAATTATTTCTTTTTAAACCGTTAAAATCAGAGTAAATTATTTTAAGCATATTATAGTCTTCATATAAAATATAAACTAATGCAAATATATAGCCTACTACGGTATCATATTTTCTATCACACACGGTAGCCACGGCAAGTTTTCATCACGACATGAATAACGAGAAGAAGAAAAAAGACTGGCATAAAGTCTCCGCAATTATTTCTAAACTGATCAGAGTGGACATGTAAATAATACACAAAACTAATTTTAAAAGGGGTGGGGGGTTAAATGAAATATAACCAGTCAAGGACAGAGGTAATCTTTCAAGCCAATCAGTTCGTCATCAAACCTACAACAGGTGAGGAAAAAATGAAGATTTAGCCAAATATTGCTAATATGATTAATAATTTAATTAATAAGGCGAGATTGAACGTCATTTACTTTGAGCACACTTTTCAGTAAATAGCCTAGTAGTCTATGAAAAAAAAACTTGATGCAATTTTTTATTAGTCGATCAAATAAATGTTTACAGCCTCCCCGTAATATTCATTAGGCTAGTCATTATCAAAACCGGTCAGTATTTAATTTTAATTCATAAACAGCCAATTTTAACAGCCTGCAAAACGTAGCCTATGATTTCAACATAGTCTTAAGTTTTTTTCCCCTCGAGATTGCAAGTAGTCAAAGGTACACTTGTAATTGCAGCTCATCACTTCATGAAGCATCGCCCATCAGTGTGTGAGTCACAGGCTGCTGCTCTGGTTTCTGAAGGGTGGAGAAGCGCAGTGTTCATGCAGTGATTGGTAAATAGCAGCGCTCTATCGGGCCAATCCAAATGTGAACATCATAAGTGTACATTCAGGGAGTGGTGAGCCTGCGTCATACCTTCAGCTTTCCTTCTCACTCCTAATCTCGTTTTGGCTTAGCAAATAGTTTATTGTACGTTTACTAAGTGGGAAAATCCAAGCGGAAAAGGTGCTACCGCAAAGCGGAACTTTTTGATCATACACGCACCGCGGGTTAATTGACAGGAACAGGGATTATTCAACCGGGAGAGCAGCCGAAGAAAAGTTATAGAAGAATTTCATAGATATTTTATTTTAGCAAAACAAAAGATATTTTTTTTCCCCACCGGAATATCATCCCCAGGCTGTCCATCTTCCTTGAGAGGGGAGCGCTTGATGTCTGGGTTTCCGCGGTATGTCTGAGCCCGACACGACCCTTCACTCACGAGACGAGACGAGACGAGATGAGACAGCAGGTGCTCGCGCTCAGCGCTCTCGTGTTTCTCTGTGTACCTCAGCCAGTAACTCCACAAACACAAGAAGGTATACAAGTGTTTTACTCTCGTTTTAATTATATGTATAATCGTTAAATGGCGTAACTAGAAACACTCGTGAAGTACTATAGAAAATGTCGTTGTCTCGCCAAACAATTCATCATGTGAGTTAAAAAAATTGACGGGTTATTTGATTTCCTTGTCGTGGTTTATGCCCCTTATTGCCCCCTGGGTTTAGCCCCTTTCCACCTGTTTAAATTTAATGAGTTGTTCCACCTATAACCTATAGGATGTAATCTGTACCTGGGTTGTTGACCAATAACATAGACATTAACTTTTTTATGTTTACTTACTATTTATCTGTATAAAGGAAAGCAGGTGCTATGATTGGTCACACGTTTTAAATCACCTTTTTGCTGCTCATTTAAATAGTCCTGTGGTGTGGCAAATGCATTTTTAAAAGCACTGTGTAGTCATTAATACGCAAATAATAAACGTGCCATATAGGCCTATATGTTTTGCACAAAGTTTAGCACTTTCTAAAGTCCAAGTGGGTTGGACTTTAGAAAGTCCAACCCACTTGGACTTTCTAGACATCGCCATTGACCATTACCCTATACTTTTTAAAATAAATGATCCTAAAAGGTGTTTAGTTTAACCATTTTGGGTTCCCCGAAGCACCTTTCAGTGAACATTTTTTTCTGCATTTTTAATAATAAAGAACCTTTTTCCATTATAAAGTACCTTTTGTGCAAAGTAAAGTTTCCATGAACTTTTCTTTTAAGAGTGATCAGAACTTAATTGTATATGAAAACTAGCAAGGATGTATGAATGATTTGAGAAAGCATGTATTAGTGGGATGAGCTTGAACATTAATAATGTGGACATGTATGATGGCTAATGTGCCTTTACAGTAGGATTTTGTGTACTGAGTAATAATAATAGGAAATGCTTGTTCTTTTTTATGATCAACATTTTTATTCAGATTTAGATTCACATCAGAAACATATATCACAATTCACAGTTCAAAAGAACTATGTACAAACACGGAAATGCTTGTTCTTTTAAATGACTCTGAACAGTTGCAAGTCATGTTGACTTGATATATTGACACTCTTGAAATAATTAAAACAGCTTCAGGGCAAAAGGATGTTTTTTTCCTCAGTAACAGAACATTAGCTTTAAGAACTATGATTCCCGTGATGGTCAACCCCAATCTCTTATTTTTTGCCACCAATCACATTATGTCACTGAGCTGAACAGAATAAGGTTTGTGACTATGTGCCATATCATAAACCACTCTTTAATAACTCCTTTACAACCATGGCTTCAAAGTTCAGCCTCTTTTAAGCGTGCAAGAGGTTTGATAGGAAGGACTGGACTAAGTTAATAATGTAATCACCCTTTCCTCATGGTGAGTGGAAGACTGGGAAGATTCTGAATGGTTGATATCTGCACTGACCTAAAAAAAACTCTCCTGATGGTGCAATATCAAATATTAAGATCCTGTAGATGTGTTTATATAGATGAAGCCTCTTTTTTTAAAAAGTGAAATGCATCACTTCATTTAACAGATTTCCTAGTAAAAGGAATGACAGAAGCTGTGCATACGTCCCACTAACCGCCAAATGTAGTGGCCTCTGATTCGGAGCAGTCTGTACTTGCAAAAGTTGACATGAATAGGTGTGGATGTGTGTTTTGGAAGTTGTCTTTTTTTGTCTAATGCCGGCTCTTATTTCAGTTTGACACTTGTACTACTTTCATTTCTTTCTCCAAGTGTCTACTAATCTATCTTTGCTTTCCCTCATGGATTCTTTCATTCACCCTTCTTTTTTTTCTTTTTTTCTCTTGTTCTATCTGTCATACATGCTCAGTCCCCACCCTGACTAAAGCTGTTAATGCTCTTTGAACTATAATCATTGTGCGCTGCTGGATTCTATTGTATGTTCCATAGAGGCCTCTGCTCTCTATCTGTGGTGCTGTTGATTTAAGATTACTTGTGTAAATGAACAGGACTCCATAAAGCCATACATTATTAGCATCCAGACATTGTGTGTGTGTGTGTGTGTGTGTGTGTATGAATATGCATATGCTATCTAGACAAAACCTGATATAACAGCAAATATGTACAAGTCATGTGGGTGTACACCTTTACACGTGCATCTCTGCATAGCCTTTTGTATAAGGGTGTTTCTCAGATTTCATTTCATCATACTGGATAGATAATAGGGATGCACTGATTAAAATTCTGGCCAGTACAATAAATATTCAGCGTTGTGGCAGGTAAATATTAAAAACCTCTACTAATTTGTCTAAAAAATAATTTTATCCATGTTGTGATGCTTAATAGAATTCATGCATTACAATATTATAATGTACAGTATGAAATATGGATAACTATTGATTTTGAGATCTTCTCAAGAATGTAATGACAAAAAAAGAGGTGGAAAGTCTTAAAAACGCTCTTTAAGAAAAAGTGCTCTCAAATATTAAAATTTCTGCTGTAATATTGCTGTAATGCAGTCAGGTATTTTTTGACCTGGAAGAGATAAAAAAAAAGCAATACAGGAACCAAACTTTGCAAATGGGTCAAGACTATCAAAAGGCACCTTTAATTTTTTTTTATAAAAAAAAAAAGAGAAAGAAAGAGAAGAAAAGAGTTTTGACCCGGGTATAAATTTAGGCTTTACACACATCATGATGTTATGCACTTTCTTTTTTTACATCTTGAGTTTTTTTTTTACATCTGTGGGATTATGAGTACATCTATTTAGCCTTTCCAATATCTTGCACACACTTTTGTAAATGAATTTTGTTGGTAAACATGAATATGCATGCCTATTGATGAACCATTGCAGCATGAAAAAAATAGTAATAAATAGTAAGAGTAATATTAATTTTGTTTTGATGTTGTTTTGTTAAAAAATAAATATGTATCTGACTCAGAAATGCAAGAACTGTACAGTATGCAGATTTTTGGAATGCATTATGTGGGTTAAGATAGCACTTAAAAATAGCAAAAGTCATCTCAAATTTAAGAATATGCAGAAAAGAGAATATACAATTAAATGTCTAATATTGGTCAGTAAATATCCAATATCAACTGCTACCAATCAAAAGTCACCTTATAGTCCCAATAAATTGTGCATACATTCAAACTCAACTGATAAAACCACTTGAGCCAATATATAACTTGTATTGCAGAAACCAGAAATAAAAGGCCACATTTATAGATATAACACCATTTAAGATGTTTACAAAGTGCATCCATTGTGAATTTACTCTTTTATCTAAGACAAACATGCAGAATTTGCATGCAGAATAGTGCAGATGTGTAACCGAAACCCATGTGACAGCATTTCCTGTAAGCGGCACATTTTTATGCATTCCCAGAACACATGCTACTATAGCTCGTCCCCTCCAGCCTCATTCCTGTGACTATCAGACGGGCAGGTGAGCGTGTTTGACTGCTGTAGTTGTAGCCACTCAGTGGTGTGGTGGTACACATTTTGGGATGAAATAACGTATAGAATGGAGCAGTGTAGAGGACAGCGGCCACTCTTAGATTATGTCCTTATGTCCCCCTCTCCGGACTCCCCCTCCTCTTGATAGAGTGCTACGCTCACACTCATCCTATTGTCTGGTTGTATGATCTCAGCCCTGCACACACACACACACAGAACCACTGTCAATCACAGCTACACATTAACAGAGCCACACATTTATAGCTAAGTGACAATACTGCGCTTTGTTCATTAATAATGCCTCTCTAGATCTCATAGCCAGATTCAGCCTTAGGCCCCAGACATGCAGCTGAGCATTACATTCTGCCAGTCTCGGATATATACCATTCAACCCCTCGCAAAATACGCCCCACAATGCACACTAGGTTCCCTTGGCTCTCGGGCAGTTGCCAGCGCCCAACATTTAAAGATTTTTTTGTTCTTCCTGAGTGTTCTTTGCACACAATTAATATTTTATAGCAACGCTATGATGGATGGGTTTATTGAATGTGAACACACGCTGGTTCACCAGCCAGAACTTGCTGTGTACATATTTGTGGCTGGCTCGTCCCACCTCTAAGGGCTGATTTGCAAAATTCTGAGTTAAGAAATTGGGTCTCTGTGATCTGTGTTGTGATGGACAGGTTTGACTCAGATTCTGAGAAAAGGCCTTTAGCTGGATGGCTTCCATTCTCTCTTCATTTTTTACAGACTGAAGATGAGTTTTACTAAAACAAAAGCTGTACTGAATTTAACCTGGAATATTCTTGCTATAACTTGAACATAGCCAAGATTAGTTTACCGTCATGTGTTACGAGACCAGAATCTCAAAACTGTTCAAATCTTTTGAAGTGCATGCTGGGTAGCCTCAAATGCCACAGTATAAAAAGTGATACACAGACTGTCAGTTAAGTCATGTGCTCATGATGAACAATCCTCTGTAATGCCACTCTGCAGATGCACTTCAGTACACTCAAGAGTTATGGCTTAAGGGTCATGGAGACCCTTGTGTATTTTATGGGTGGGGTGAAGGGAGAGAGAGCAAGAGAGAGAGACTTTTCTATCAGTTGTCATGTTTCTCTGTCACCTCGGGCCAATAACCCTGGATTCCATCTCTGTCTGAAGCTGTTTCCCACTATTATGTTCTTGTCTTTTTAAGTCTGTTTGGGGACTTTCAGTTGTCTTGTACTACATGCTGACCTGCAGCTTCTCGGCAACCTCTGACCTTGCCCTCATTATGTTAATGACCTTGTGTTGTGGCCACTGCATGAAGTCCTTTATGTGTGCTGTGAGTGGACGCCTTGTGTGGAAATGGCCACTTCAAACGGACTATATTTGTGTACAGAGGTTTCTTCGGCATCTTGCAAGAACAGTCTAATATATTTGTGCTGTTTACAAATAGATGATCAAACTGACAATTCAACTGATCAGTGATTTACAAAAGATTATCAGCCTATATATTTAAATGGGTTATCACACAGAAGTATTCTGGGCTATTTACTACTTAATATGTCTATCGACAGCATAATTTGATTCAGCTTTTGGTTTGTAAATGGAAAATGCATGTAGAGTAATCAGGGGCTTAAGATAACCAGAGGCCCCTGGGCTACAGCATTACGGTAGGCCCCCTACCCTAGATTTTTTTTTTTTTTAGCTTCCTGGCAATTATTTTTGTTTAATTTTGAATTTTTCTTGTTGACGTGCCAGTTAACTTTTACAGCACTGTTCTGCTTAAAATATGAATAAGTGAATATGCAAATTCACTCATTGCCAGAAGGTGGCACTTGTGGAGCAGCAGAATTATAACCTTTACATAAAGTAAACACTATGTTATTACAGGCATAATACAGAGGCAATATGAAAAGAAAATGCCATCAAAATGTTCCTGGCCAAAATGTGAGTTTACAGGTATGATTTAAACACCATAAATTACACAAAATATTCATTATTCATCATTTGTAGATCGAAACAATCACTTGGCAAGTTGGCATAAATGTGGGCTATTTGGTGGTTGCTAATTGCGTTTTTATATTGAAACATGCCGTGCTCGCGTTTAATTAAACATCAGTGCATAAAGGCATGTACACAGAATAGCTCTCGTGCTAGGCTTCTTTACTATTACATTGTGCATACCGCTCATAGTATATCAGTGGAATATTCCAACAATACAAACTGTGTGGGGGAAACCTAAACACATCACCCATTCACTACATATACTACAAGCAGGGCATCACTGAAAATGAGTGTGTGAGTTTGTTTACAGAATGCTGTTGTCACTGCTGCAAACGCCCATATATACAAATAATTATTCAAAAAATATAATTTACCTGCAGCCAGTAGGCCCCTCCCAAGTGTAGGCCCCTGGGCTTCAGCCCATTAAAGCCTGTGCGTTAATGCGCCCCTGACAGTAATACACTTGAACTGGCACTTGAACTACACATGTAGGCAATTGAGCAGTACTGTGACAATAATGATTAAAACACACAGTATTAACCTGGTTCATAAGCCAAAACTGAGGGCTGCGCTGACATTATTCTTTGTAATAAATATACTGATCAAAATTTTGTGGTCAGTAAGATTTTAAATGTTTTTAGAAAAAAGTATCTTATGCTCACCAGTGATGCCAAAGCTGAATTTTCAGCTGCCATTACTCCAGTCTTCAGTGTCACATGATGCTTCAGAAATCACATAATAAGTTGATTTGCTTAAAAAAACATTTCTTATATTTTCAATGCTGAAAACAGTTGTGCTGCTTAATGTTTTTGTGGAAACTGTGATTAATTTTTTCAGGATTTTGTGATGAATAAAAAGTTCAAAAGAGCAGCATTTATTTGAAACAGAATCATTTTATAACATTATAAATATCTTTACTGTCACTTTTGATCAATTTAATTCATCCTAGCTAAATCAAAGTATTATTTCCTTAAAATAAATTACAATATATGTTGTGACAGTAAATTGCTATTCAAATGACCCATAAACTCATATACAGCATAATTAGATCTCATTATTTTCTTTCCCCACCAGTTTGCACGGGTACCAAGAATGCTCTGAGCTCCACAGGCTCCCCTGTACAACACTACAACAACCTGAAGGAGCGCTACACTGGATGTGAGATCGTCATGGGCAACCTTGAGATCACACAGATGGAGAGTGACCTCGACTTCTCCTTTCTTGGAGTAAGATTATTTTTTATACATACTGTATATAATGGTTGATTTGGCCATAAGATAAAATTCTTATGTTATGCTTCTCTTTCAGAGTATCCGAGAGGTCACAGGGTACATCCTCATTGCTATGAACCAGTTCAGCAGGTTGCCGCTGGACCAGCTCAGAGTGATTCGTGGTAGCAGCCTGTATGAGAAGGAATGGGCCCTTTCGGTCTTCCATAATTTTGATAGTCACAGTGGCCTGGAAGATCTGGGCCTCACCAACCTCACAGGTGAGATGAAATATGATTCAAAAGAATCAAAGATTGAAAGTGACAGATGTCACATTGAGTCCAGAATAAGTCATTTGTCCAAATAGAACATGAAACTTCCATGCAACGTGCCACTGCAGAAACAGAAACAAAATGTCCTGCTACTCATTGGTTGAGAATAGTGATATAGGACAAAAACTCAAATTTAAATGCACTGAAAAAAATAATTGGTGATGGATTTATTTGGAAACAATCTTCAAACACACATTACTAGTAAATTTCACAAATAATAACAAAGAAACAACAAGTAACACATTAAACATGTTTTTTTTTTTTTTTAAGTACGAAGACTGAAGTTGTATTTTCTTTAAACGTAATCCAGTAATCATTTTTACAATGTGAAAGAGATTGTATCACTTGGATCATAAATGCTTCCTCAAATCATTTCTTTCTGTGGAGCATTTATGGCCCATGTCTTGTAAAGTTACCTTCTCAAAACAAAAGGATGTGACAGTGTGATTTGACATCAGTGATTTGAGGAAATGTGTAGGAGTGTTTAGGAATCTGGCACATTTGCATAGCACTGGCACACCCATGTCACTCCATAGAGCAAAATGCTATACAGACAGCCCCTCAAAAGAGCTTGAGCTTGGCAGAAGTGTGTCTGTGTGTTTTGTTGGTCACATCATTCAAACTCTATTTAGATGACTTGTTCAGACTCATCTGAGATGTTAGAAAAGGTGCACAGAAGGGACACATACTATACGTCTTGTGTTAGCTGAGCAGTTATTTGCACTTATCTGCACTTATTTCCAGATCTTCTGAGACATTTACAAGAACTAGAACAACCCCTCTTTAATTCTCTCTTGACAGTAAACTGAAACTTAAAATAACTCTTCACAATCAATATAGTACAGTTAAAGGGTTAATTCACCCAAAAATGAAAATTAGCCCACAAATTACTCACCCTCAAGTCATCCTAGGTGTATATGACTTTCTTCTTTAAGACGAATTCAGTCAGAGTTCTATTAAAAATGGTCTTTGATCTTTCAAGTTGTTTAATGCCACTCAGCGGGTGTTGCATTCATCAGTCCAAAAGAAGTTAAATAAAAAGCACCCATCCATAAAAAAAAAGTGTCTCACACGGTTCCCGGGGGGTGAACAAAGGCCTCCTATAGCGAATCGATACGTTTTTTAAAGAAAAATATCCATATTCAAAACTTAAAACTTAAAACTTTGCTTCCTTTGATCCTATAAACATACGTTGGTTTTCACAAGACTCACCGGCGCATGCGCAGCACTGACCTCATACGTCATCTGCCCCGGAACTACTTCAGTGTACAACTGTTGGCGCAAGCTACATTAAAGTCATTATTACGTTTTGAATATGGATATTTTTCTTACAAAAACGCATCGATTCACCCCCGGAGCCATGTGAGACACTTTTTTTTATGGATGGGCGCTTGTTATTTAACTTATTTTGGACGGACGCATGCAACACCCGCTGAGTGCCATGAAACAGCTTGAAAGATCAAAGATAATTTTTTATATTACTCCGACTGGATTCGTCTGAAAGAAGAAAGTCATATACACCTAGGATGACTTGAGGGTGAGTAATTTGTGGGCTAATTTTCATTTTTGGGTGAACTAACCCTTTAATAGACAACACTTTAGACAAGCATAAACAGGTGTTTGTTCCCCCTCTAGTGACGAACTGCTGCTACTTGGAGAGCGCTGAGCCACTGTCTGGTTATGTGCCGCCATCTTCTATACATCACATGTTCTGCCTTAAATGAATCAGACTTTCTTCATTGTGTACACAGAGATCTTGGAAGGAGGAGTACAGATTGTCCATAACAGAAATCTCAGTTATGCTCCATGGATCAACTGGCGGGACATTGTCAGAGACAGTGTCGCTCGCATCCAGATCCAGAACAACGGAAGAAGAGGTTTGTACATTCACACCTTTATTGGGTGGTTATTGATTGAGAATATGAGATAGGTGAGTGTCACTCAATTATGTTTTGATATTCATGTCCAGAAAATGTTTTCATCATTTACTCCCCCTCACACTGTGTCTGATGAATGACTTTCTTTAGATAAACAGATTTTTAGGGGGGGGGGAAATCTCTGTCTTCATATAATGCTAGTGAATGGGACCCTAAACCCCACGGAACACAAACATGATTAGCCATGTGACCGCAGTTAATGAATCAATAGGGGCGT